GTAGACAGACTCAGTTACAGAGGTGACTGATGCAACTTTGGAAGACATGAAGGGTGAGATTAGGGACAAATTGTCATGGAGAAAATCTATCTATGTGGTCACTAAGATTCAATACCAATTTGAGTCAGTATAGTATATGTTGTTGTAGACAAAGAATAGCAGAACCATAGCCAGAGGCTGCCATTGCTCGTTTGTCCTGTGTGTTGGCTTCCTGGAGACGTCAGCTTAGCCACTATGAGAAGCTGTTTTACATTCAACAAAGTGGTTGAGTTTATTCTTAATCTTGATTCATTCAAAGATGATTAACCCTTCCAAGAAGATTCATATGTCAGAGGCTCATTGCAACAGCTTCTATCAGAGAAATCCAGAGAATAGGTAAACATCAAATAGCCATGGGAGAGGTTTTTTTTAAAAGGAAATATTTACATCCTCTCCTGTTAACTTTTCTCTCTTCAGCTGTTTAGACATCAATCTTTTCTCGCAACTGCTGAGACCTAGTGACATTCAAGCTAAAAGTGTAAAGCAGACTGGCCCTGCCCAGCTGCCTCTCCAAAGTGTGCTGTTTAGGCATGCAAAGCAGGATGCTACAAATGCAGAAATCTGTTGTGCACTTTCGATCAAAGCTGTTAATAAGAACAGCCTGAGACATGTGAAAATAAATCCAGTGTAATCAAATGCTCGCCAACACGACTTGTACAACTCAAGGCAAAAATTAAATAGCAATAGAACAACAGAATGGAAGAGGCATTCTTTTGTCTTGAAGTCCTTCAGCTATGAGCAGAATTGGGGCTTTTATTGCATAATACTATTTTGCCAGGCAGAAGTTGATTTCAGATTTCACATCAAACTCTGTCCTGCACTAATAACGATTTAAAATTCACTTTTGGGGTTTTTTCAAAATTTATCATTGGCACACATTACTTAAGAGTTGTTTGTATCCTTCATGGCATTTCTACCCTCTTACATCTTCTGCAGTAGGTTGAATTGCCACTACTTTTCTTACTGCTCATCTCCATCCTTCTCACTGAGCTGACCAGCACCTACCCAAGCTTGCCAATGGGAGGGCACAAAAAGTCAGAAATTTTGACACATTTGCTTTTTTTTTTTGGGGGGGGGGGGGGGGGGAAAAAAAAAGAACCCAGTCAGAGATTGGGCAGGGTGGGAGTGGAAAAATCCACTCCTCAGAGAAAATATGTTATTGGGGAGGGGAAGGTGTTGTAAAGGTTGCCTACAGAAGGGGGAGAGAAATCTCAGAAGACTTGCAGTTCAAGGAAATGTTGCAAAACTGACTTCATAGTCAGCAATTTTGGAAGGCAGATGCAAAAATGTCCCTTATATATGCTGTGTTCAAAGGACCATTGAAACTATCGCTCCTGTCCTGTTATATTGTACATGCTATAAGGAACCTAGGAACCTAATAACTCCTTACCTGATAAAATATCCAGGACATTCTGATCCTTCGTATGTATAGATATTGTCAGATCAATATAATTCAGTCTCCTTGAACATAGCCAAATTTTATATATTCAGATTTTGATTGCTCATTGATGAAACCACCACTTTTATCCTGTTTTGTTTACTTAATTTTATTTTAATGTGCTTTTATTTATAATTCTAATCTTTGACTGTAATAAAAATTATCTCTCTCATTGCCTTCATAGTTTTGTTTTTAGAGCAGGAGCTGAATAGCTAGTTAAGATCCAAGAAATAATGGAGAATTGGGGTATTAGCACTGAGTTTAGATTGTGCCAGTATGTGGAAGAGGTTTTTATTCTTAACTCAATAAACAAATTTTGATTTAGTATGTTTGTCTACATTGGTTTTCCATACTAGCAATATCTACGGAGATAGTCAATCATCGAGGTCACAGTTGTCTCAAAGGTGCTTTTTTCAAAAGGCAATTGGACTTTCTTGGTTTTTTTTCCTTGAAAATGTTTCACTTTTCATCCAAGAAACTTCTTCAGTTCGTCAATGAACTGAAGAAGCTCCTTGGATCAGAGGTGAAATGTTTTGAAGGAAAAATCCCCAAGAAAATCTAGTTCCGTTTGAAAAGCACTTTTGTGAAATACTTGCGATGTTATAATATGGCATGTCTCCTCTGGAAGTGAAACTCTGACTATAACTATAGTTGATTAAGTCACAAAGCTGCAGGAAGCAACTTCATAGTCTTGGGTCTTGGGTCTTGATCATCCCTTCAGACATCATGCTAAATCATGGCCTTAACTACAATGCAATGGGATACCTCAATTTAAGCAATGCACAGGCACTGAATGTATCCAGTGCAGACATTCTTCAATTATGTAAATCCACATCAAGTATGACATGAGTATAAGATGCTTAGAGTTGCTACAGGAAAAGAGTGGAACTGAGCAAAACATCTCAGGGAAGGACACTGCTGCGTTATTTTTTTTAAAATACATCAATACTTAACTGTTTAAATAAAATCAAACCTCTGGTTAAAATGTATTTCCTCCACTCATTGATCATAAATATCTATAAAAGCTGACAATGGCAAAATAGGATTTTTCCCCTTAACATACAAAAAATATCTTCATGCTGAGGTTTTTAAAAACAAAATGCTTACATCATCTGAAAATAAACAAAATTGCCCCCAATGCTTCATAAATACTGCTTTTATACATATATAACCATCTCCCTGTGCTTTTCAAGAACCATCTCCCAAAGTCTCATTTCATGACAAAATGAACTTTGAAATCTCTGCCAAGTTGTGACATGCCAGTTAATTCTCATGAATGAGGGCTTCATTTCTTTGGTCAATCCCACAACAATTTAGATCTATTGAGGAAGGGGATGCTTCAACCAAAAGACTAAGTCCTGCTCATAGTTTTCAACTTCATGCATTCATGTTGTTCATAGTAGAGTCTTGAAATGCTCACAGATTTGAATGGTATGCATATCCATGAAAGAGTAGAAAGACATAGGGAAAGTGCATCAATATAGGTAAGCAGATTATTAATGGTTTCATGGAGTATATTTTTAGAGTTCTCTTATCCATTCCTTCTTCTTCCCATGAATCATGAGAACTTATTGAAACCTAAGATAAAACTGTCTTAAATCTAAAACAGCACACACAATGCCTTTCAAAGCAGTAAATGGTGCATAAATGGGACAGATTATAAATAGCAATTCGCAGACATTTTATACCCCAGGAACCCTTTTTTCTTAGTTTGACTAAATGAGGATCTCCTGTGCCACAAAACTCCACTGAAGAAGAATCTTCAATATATCCCAAGGTATTCTGGATTCACATGGAGCAACAATCAAGTTTCACCATCGCCACAGATAAAATTAGAGTTACATAATGAAATTGCCGGATTTAACCTCTGGCACCTCCTTTTAAAAAGAGCAGAGAGTAGATCAGGGGAGAAACTCACTCTCTGGCTAATAGTTGCTGCCAAAAATATACTACCTTTACCATTCTAATATCCTATCATAAATAATAACTGGGGATGTGGGAAATCATTGTCAAATACAGTAAGTATAGGGCAATAAGCAGGGGAAGGCAGACAGTTTAGGCAAGTTGAACAAATGATCTGACCTGGAGTAACTTTCTAAGAATAAAGAGGAAGGAAAAAAATCAGGCAAAGTTAATAATTCCCATCTCTGATTGCTTTATTCATTTCTTAATGATCTGCCAGGAGAAATAATCAGCATAAGAAAACAATTTTTCTTGTTTGCACAGGTGTGTATTGCATTTTCAAGCAAACAGGTTAGAATTCTACGGCTGGAATTAATCGTCTAGATTTGAAAACCTCAGAGCCTTCTTCCAGCATAGAAGAAACCTGCAGCATGTTGCACTCTTTCTTGTAACTGGCAGGCACCATGAAACCTTTAGCTTGGGCAAAGTCTGAACAGTTAAAGCAAAATGCTCTATCCTTACTATTCAATTTAGTGGTAACCTCAGCTTTTGTTCTGCAACAAACATTATAAATCTTCCTAGATTCCCCTGATCACAGCAAGGGAAAAAATGATTAACAAATTCACATTCTAGACTATACTATATTTCTAGGGCGTGCTTCAATGTGTAACTTAGTTTGGATAAGAAAGAACTGAACTTTTAAGAGCCGAGACTGATCAATGGCTAAAATCTCAGTTTTTATACCCTAGCCGAAATTTGAAAATACAGCACTGTAGATCCAACTAAAACCCTTCCTTTTTAATTTCCTTGCACAGTAAACAAATGAAATGTTTATTACTTAGAGCCATCCAATCAAAATACTTTATGTTTGTATGTCTGCCAATCACAAATACAAATATTGCATGCTGCATGGGTAGAAATGCTCAAGTTGAAGTTCAAATCCTTTCTGAACCATTTTAAGCCATCTGTAAAATGGAAATATTTATGACAAACAAATATAGGACATTCACAAAACAAGCTTATCCCAAAATTTCATATTGAAAAAATAGTATAAATGTAACAACAAATATGAGTGAACAACTACTCTCTAGGCCGGGGCTGTCAAACTCCCGGCCCGCAGGCCAGCTGCATCATGTTCTGGCCATGCTCATGCCCAATTTAGCAAAGGAGAAAAAAGTCCCGATACGTCATGTGACACTGCCATGATGGTGTGAGTTTGACACCCCTGCTCTAGGCTGTCTGGAAAACACTTCCTATAACCTTTAATTACTGGCCCAGTGGCTGGGATACATCCATGCTGTTGGAATACTCTTTATAAAGCTAACAAAAAATCACTGTCATACGACCACATTTCTGTAAGCTTGGGAGGAACTTTCATGAAGCAAAATACAAACCACACCATCAGCATGAAAGAGCATGAAAAATAAAACCTATATTCCTCTTGTGGCTTCCTAGGTCAGCCTTCCCTAACTGATGCCCTTTGATGTATTAGACTAGAACTTTGATTATCACCAGCCAACAGGAAATCCTTAATTCAGCAGTAGTCTGCAAACGTAACAGAATTACTGACCCTCAAACTTTTGGCCACAGACAAAGAAAAAATAGTTGATGTTGTACTTACACCACTGGAAAGGTTCTCAGCATAATTTACATGGGGAGAGGAAGGTCAGAAAGCCTCTTGGAGGTCTTCAGTATTTGCTATCATTCTGAAACAAATAAGAAGGACACTTAGTTTTTACATAATTTCTTAGAAGTTATTTTTCATATTATTGCACACAGCTGAACAGACACCTCACAAACAAACAATGATTATTTCATTTTCTACCAAACTCCCATAAAGTCAGAATCTGTCTTAAAATAGACAGGACTCTGATGGGTAGGAGGGTCTTTTTGAAATATTTTAGTGTCTCACAGCGCAAATGCATCTGGACTTGATGGGTTGCAAAGCTACAATTATTGAATAAAAAACAGAACTAAAATACCAGTTTCTCAGAAAGATGTATAGCTTTAAAATGACAAATGAACATAAGCTGACAACATGACTTGAGGTGCATGAAACTATATCATTTTAAATTTGTTTTGCATCACTTAGAGAAACCAGACATATCACACTTCAAAACTGTTAATGCTTTATTTGACTATGTGCTATTTTAGGAACCCACAGGTACTGATCACTGAAAAATCCAGAGAAATCTACAAGAGTGATTAAAATAAGGCAGAAATAACATATCACAAGCAAAGAAAGGGAATATTGGGCATATCAAATCCAGAGGGAAAATATTCTCCAATATTTGCAAGAAAAATGGCAAAAAAGAGGGAGACTTTTTTTCAAATCACTTAACTTAATAAGAAACATGAATAAAATTTGTAATAAACATTCTGCAAAGGTATCTAAATTTAAAGGGACATTAAACAGACACAACAGCTTTCTACCCTGACTTTGACTAGACTTGAATATTTTTTTCAAGAAGTAGCTCATGGCTGGAGTTTTTTTTTATTTCTAGAGCAACTTTATGGATCTCACATTGTTTGTTTTGCTTTAAAAAATAATTCACAAACATCAGAAAAAGTCTCTCAGCTTGATCAAGCCATAGAATTCACAAACATCTCTGATAAATTAGGCCAAGGCCATCTAGTTCAGTGTTGACGTTGTTATCCATTCAGTCGTGTCCAACTCTTAGCAATTCTATGGGGCAGGTCTTTCCATATGTTCCGATCTTGCATTGCTTCTTTGAGTTTTTCTATGTTCTGGCTGGCATCACCTTTGATACCACTGTGTTATTTGGTTGCCTGGTTTCCTGTTACTGCTAAGTCTCCCCAACATAAGTGCTTTCTCCAGTGAATTCCCCCACATGACATGGCCAAAATAACTTGAGGTGCAGTTTGGTGATTTTGCCTTCCAGTGATATGTCTGGTGTTATGCGCCCTAGTACTTGCTTGTTGATCATCTAGTTCAGTATTCTGTGCCAACTAGTGGCTCTCGAGATACTTATGAAAAGTTCAAAAACCCAGATTAGAAGGGCATGCATTTCTATAGAAAGAAAAGTTGTTGGTACTAATAACACACATTCTTGGTAATCTGTCCATTTATAAAACTGGAAGATGTGCATCCATTATATTCAACAGCCACATTTGTAAGGGTTGTTTCTTACATTATCTGCCATATTAACCATGTAAATTCCCTTATGCAGTAGCTGAGCCTTGCTGCATGTCATGCAGTGATTGCAAACATTCTAATAAGTGAAGAAGTTGCAAACTCAGGTTTAAAAACAGTACAGCACCTTTAAAATGTGAAAATCAAATCTCAGTTGGGGAAAACATAAGACCTAAGAATGTAGACAGGGTCCTCTTTCCTGCCAGCAGCCCAAAGACTAAAAACAGAGTCCAAACATTCGTAGTGACTTCCAAACTTAATGGTGAATTGAAGAATCAATTTTCACTATATTATTTGATTTCAAAAGAATCCAGTAGCTGAATACAGGCAGTATGTTTTTTGGATATCCCTCCCTATCATGGCATTTCAAAACCATAAGGCCTCAACCCTTCAGTCTCACAAACAGAATCTAAGTTTGTCTTCCTAGCATTAACCAGGCAGAACAGCAAGTATCATTAATCTGTATGACTAATGCAGAGGTTAAACCTGACAAACCTTTGTCCTGTCTGCATTATTCATTAATGAAATTAACTTGTTAAAGTGTGGGGGCTGCGGAGGAAAGGGAGAAGCAGAGACTGAAAGAGGAAGTCAGCCTTCCTTCCCTCTCTGATGCAAAGATAGTATGCAAAAGAGTGGAGGAGAAAAGAGGGAGGAATTCCGTATTAGTATGAAAATCGTGGCAGCAATTGTAGGATGGAATGAACAATCCAATCCTCAGCTTAAAAGCTGCTCTAAAAGGCAGCTCAAATTTACAATGGATGAGCCTTCATAGCAATCTGTTTTTCCGATATTAAAAATCTCATTTTCTCAATGCCAAGGACAAGTGGAAGCGTGAGGCACTGGAGTATCAACTCGGCATTTGTCTCATTTGACATTAAATCATTCTCATTTTCAACTTGCATTTTCTAATATCTCCTTGGGAGCCACTTCAGTTTTGTTCGTTTCTCTTTGACTGCAATTAAGATATTGGAGTACCGTGTTTCCACCTTTGCTTCCACCTTCTACACTTTCTCTCAGAATGCTTTATTTTTTTTTGTGGGGGGGGGGGGGGGGGGGGGCTTTAACCAGTTTCTGAGCAATTAGAAGACCAACCAAATGCAGTCTTCCCACTAAGATTCACCAGCCAGAAACATTAATTCACCTTAAACTATAATGGAGGAATGTAGTACGTATGGAAGTATCAGCTTATATTCATTAAGATTCAAAAGACAGTTTCACGACATAGACACTAAAAAGCATTTCTTATTCTAAAGAAGTTACAGTACTCCCATCTTTTGTCATAGCAAGACTGTGGCTCTGAAATCACTTATTAGATATTAATACATATCCTCCAGCTCAGGATCCCAAATTTCAAATGATGAGCTTTTGGAGAATGGGGATCTGTCCTCCAAAATTTTGCAATAGCATTACGTACTCCAACTGTTATTGTGTAACAATACAACATATAGTCAGAACATCCTCCCACCAAAGATTTCACATAGCAGTCATCCTACTTTTTTGCTATATTTTAGTGCCACTTTCATGAGTGTGTGAATTAGTTCAAAGACAGATACCACAAATGCCCACATTTATTAAGAACACAGTATGAAGGGTTTTTTTAAATAAAAAAATACAAGTTTCTAGTCCTTAATATACACAGAAGAAGTTGGAAATGACTGAGAGAGACCAAACAGCATTTCCAGAGCAGAAGGAAGGAATCAACAGGATCCAGAGCACCTGATGCAGAATTATGTTTTAAAAAAGAAAAGCAAATTGTTTATATTTCATCTACTGTTTCAGTAACAGTCATAATTTTAAATGTATATCTTTATAGGCATATACTTTTATCTCATAACTACCAAAGAGTCTAAAAACAAAGATGAAATCCAAATATAAGCATGCTAGTTCTACATGCAAACCCCTTTCTTTGATTTCTCTTTTCAATTTTTAAAACTTTGAAGGAAAGCTCCAGTTTCCAACTACCAGCCTCATTTCTTTCTAGAAAGCTTTTGGACCAAATGATATACCTAGGAAAGCAAAACAAAGTGGCAGGCAGGGCAGTTGGAACTGCTATCCATTGCCTTCAGGAAACGACATTGTTATTATTTATTAATCAGGGGGCTCAGTTGAAAAGTCAAGAGAGTGAACGGAGGGATCAAAGTTCTGTCCATGATATGCACATTAAAAATGGGTGGAGCTTCAATGGCACCATTGGGTTGCCAACTTGACTTTTTGACCACACCCAGTGAATGCCACTGTTATTACTATAATAATAGTAACAACATAAAACAGAAGCTGGAAAAAGACAAAATTGATATTTTACGATTTGGGGAGAATATTGCCAGGGTTCTTGGCAGATGTTACTTTTTGCTGTTTGTGTGTGTTTTAGGAGCTGAGCTAAGTGGGCTTCTTGAGTTTATGTTGGCTTGGGTTTTTAAAAATTAGTGGAATATTTAACTGCACACTGTTGTTTTCCTTCTATGAAATATATCAAATTCATATTTTGACACAGAGGAGTCCATCTCCAACTACTACTTTCTTGCTTGTCTTTGTGACTGCAGCAGCCACTCAATGGTGGTTAGCAAAATCAGAACTTAATCAACTGAGATAAACACTCAGGGATTCTATACTTTTAATTTCCCACATTTCCTGCATCAGCTTTTCTATCCAGATGACAATACTGGTTGCACCATGAAAAGACTACAACCTTGGTAGATACAGGATGACAAATGATGCCTTTTGCCACCTTAGACTACTGGATCCAGGGCTGTCTTAACGCATGGGCCTGATGGGGACTTGCCTGTGGGCCCCACAAGCATAGTGGCCCCATATTAATCTGTGTATGTTAACCCTTCAATGCACCTTGTATCATATAAATACAGCAACATATTTATTATATTTTACTGCATTTTTATTTTATTATTAATACTAAAATGCAAATATATGTTTAATTTTATCGACCATTTACATTTTCATTCCTGTGAGTAGTTGTCGTAGGGACCACAGTACACTGCTTTGCCCGGGGCCCATAATGCTGTTAAGATGGCCCTGACTAGATCATAGAGTTGAAGTACCATTACTTTCTCCACTTAGCTTCCCATAGTCTTTTATAACTAAAGATGCTGGGAATGTACTTAAGAGCTTCACCAGACAAAGCATGTGCTCTGGCATTGAAGTGTGGTCCCTCCCAGGGCAAGAACTACCTTCCAAAGCAGTAGAGCAAAAGCTTCTCAGCCAAGGAAAAACAATCCCTTAAGTGGCTATTGATGCTTGCTCTGCAAGGCAGCAGGAAATCTAAGATACTAATAAGGCCTCTAAATGGCTATACTAAGTGCTGGAAGGTTGGCTTCCTCCTTCAGGTTCTCTGCTCAGTTTTGGACTTTGGCTTAGAAGACATATGCATGACTTTTCCCTCCTCTATTTAGATACCGCACTGGCACATTTTCAAGTGAGGTAACAAAATATTGAAAGCTTCATTGCAGCATGAGTTTCCAGTTCTTTTACTTGTTGATTACTACTACTCTGTTCAAAACTGTTTCTCTCCCCCCCCCCCCCATTTGAGCCAAATGTTTA